TTTTATTTCTTCTGTGTTAAAATTTCAATTAATTTAATTAATTTCCTGATTATTTTAATTTCTTGTTATTCAATTAATTCTTGTTATTCAATTAATTATTTTAATTCAATTAATTCAATTAATTTGTTTAATTCAATTAATTCAATTAATTTGTTTATATTTTAATTTAATTCAATTAATTTCCTAATTATTCAATTAATTATTTTAATTCAATTAATTTGTTTAATTCAATTAATTCAATTAATTTGTTTATTTTAATTCAATTAATCTAATTCAATTAATTTCCTAGTTATTTTAATTTCCTGGTTATTCAATTAATTATTTTAATTCAATTAATTTGTTTATTTTAATTCAATTAATTTAATTCAATTAATTTGTTGGTTATTTTAATTTCCTGGTTATTCAATTAATTATTTTGATTCAATTAATTTCAACTATTTTAATTTTTTTACGTTCTTTAATGTTGTTAAAATATTTATATTTTTGTCTATACCATTTATTTTAAAAAATTATCATTTCTGGTCGCCTCGCTTCGATGAAGCCCTCGCCTCGCCTCGTCGCCTCGCGCTTAGGCGTTAGGTGACCTTGTCGCCTTGGTTCGCTTTTCGCCTTAAAAAACACTGCTCCAAGGCTCTACTTAAGTTGGAAAGTTTCTTTTTCCTAGAAGTTTTTCTTTCAAAACATGTTCTATTGGGGATTTAAATTTTAAAAAGGCAAAAATTCTTCTCTTTTGATCACTAAGGTAAAAACCCAAATTCAAACTCAAATTCTTTAAAATTGGGAAACCCCTCCCCCCCTAATCTACTACTGATTACTCAAATCATTATCAGAATACGAATCACTGCCTAAATTGAACAACCATATCTCTGTAATTGGATCATTGCCCCAAATAACTAGGATTGCAGCAGAATCAAATCACTGCCATATCAGACTCCCCAGATTTTCGGAAAGAAATCACCGTCATTCTCATTGTTGATCTCAGGAATCAAATCAAATTAGTTTCAAAATATCACACAAGCACATAATTTGCATTCGTGCCAATCAGGGGTTAGGGTTGCCTTGTCCTAATTTAGAAATGAGATCTACAATTCACTAAATCATTCAAAGAGGCAATAATAAAATACTAGAAAGGAGGGTATCTTGCCCTAGTTTGGAAGGTGCTAATGCTCTCTACATGCAAAAAGTAAGTTTGGTCGCAAAAAGCTACATCAGTTATTACTGTCAATGTACCACTCCTTCCGCAAGGAAATGATCAAACAATACTAGCAGCATAATCTGATGCTTGCCTCGTTCACATAACATAACCCACGAATAGTGTACGAGATATTATGCAGCAAACCTGAGGATAGGTGACTGGACCCAGCCAATTTTGTTTAACACTTGCCATCGGATCTCGAAGTCATCATCATCACCTATTGGGTGATAGTTGCCCAACCAAGGCAATTTTGAGGAATTTTAATGATTCCTACCAGAGTGATTAATCTAAACAATTGTCTTTTCATTATTTATTGTTTCTCGAAATGTGACCCAATTTATTTTCAAGAGTGTGTGATCAAATCTCAACTTCAATTTTTTTTTTCTTTTTCAAAATAAAGTGCCTTTTTTTTATTTAAATTCTCAAAGTTTTCCTTCCCTCTTCTATTTCAACTGTTTTGAGGATTTCGGATTTTATTCCAAGGAATCAATCAAACAATCATCCTATAGCCAAATATTCTTATAGAGGAACCAAAATTTTATTCAGAATGAGAGACTTGGTCATCACTTCCTTGTCTAACATTTCTCCATAAAATTAAGGTTCCCTCAAAGTCATGGCCCAAAGATTTTCACTCGACGGACAGAACTTTCCATAATTTCCGAACTCCACTCAAATTTTATTTTCAAAAAATTTCCAAGGAATTTAACATCTTATTCAAAGAAATCAATCAAACAGTTATCTTATAGTCAAATGTCTTCTAAGGAAATTCAAAATTTCATTTCAGAGTGAAAGACTCTGTCATTACCTCCTCATCAAACACTTTTCCATAAAATCAAATTCCCTCTAAAGTCAAAAAACCTAAAGATTTCTGTTTGATTAAAAATTTTCATAATTTCTAAAGTTCTACTCGCGTTTTCTTTCAAAATTCTTTCCTCCCTAGGAGCTTCAGATTTTATTCCAAGTGTCTAATCAAACAATTGTCTCCTTAGTCAATTATCTTTTGGGGGATTTGGAGTTTTATTCAAAATGGAAGATTTGGTCACCGCTTGCTTATCTACCATTTTTCATAAAAGTTGAAATTCCCCCCTAAAGTCAATGACTTAAAGATTCTTATTCAATCAAACACCTTCCATAACCTCCAAGGCTCTACTTAAGTTGGAAAGTTTCTTTTTCCTAGAAGTTTTTCTTTCAAAACATGTTCTATTGGGTATTTAAATTTTAAAAAGGCAATATTTCTTCTCTTTTGATCACTAAGGTAAGAACCCAATTTCAAACTCAAATTTTTTAAAATTGGGAAACAACCCCCCTAATCTACTACTGATTACTCAAATCATTATCAAAATACGAATCACTGCCTAAATTGAACACCCAAATCTCTGCAATTGGATCATGCCCCAAATAACTCAGATTGCAGCAGAATCAAATCACTGCCATATCAGACTCCCCAGATTTTCGGAAAGAAATCACCATCTTTCTCATTGTTGATCTCAGGAATCAAATCAAATCAGTTTCAAAATATCACACAAGCACATAATTTGCATTCGTGCCTATCGGGGGGTAGGGTTGCCCTATCCTAATTTATAAGTAAGATCTACGATTCACTAAATCATTCAAAGAGGCAATAATACAATCCTAGAAAGGAGGGTATCCTGCCCTAGTTTGGAAGGTGCTTATGCTCTCTACATGCAAAAGGTAAGTTTGGTCACAAAAAGCTACATCAGTTATTACTGTCAATACACCACTCCTTCCGCAAGGGAATGATCAAACAGTACTAGCAACATAATCTGATGCTTGCCTCGTTCACATAACGTAACCCACGAATAGTGACCGGGATATTGCGGCAAACCTAAAGATAGGTGAATGGACCCAGTCAAATTTGTTTAAGACTAACCATCGGATCTCGAAGTCATCATCATCACCCATTCGGTGATAGTTGCCCAACCAAGGCAATTTTGAGGAATTTTGGCAATATATTAAGTGACCTGATAAAATATGTGCAATCATCAATTGTAAGATATTATTGGCTTGTGGGTGTGTGTCCGCACAGTTTTTTCTTGATGATATATGTGGTTAATTGTTGAAAACCCAGCATGGGCATAAGGTACTTACAGTCACAAGTTGATGCGCATGATTGCCTTTAAATAAATTCAACATTTATACTAAGTTTAAAATTTAAAATTATTTTTGGTTGACCTCAATTAAATAGATTAGCTAGGTTATCCATTGAAAAAATATTATAGATAATATTCATTACACAAACTTAATTAGTTATTTTGTAGTTAAATTGCAAGAAGATGTTTATGGAATTCTAGATATATATATATATATATATATGTGGATTGTAACAGTTTAACCCTGCAATAGTGTTCTAATTTTGTGTTCCATTTTAAGTTTGAGCATCCATAGCCTTTGACAGTCGGGTTGGGTATAGTCCGGGCCAGCTATTTTTGTAACAATATTCATTTATTGGGTATAGTTTGGGCCTGCTAGTATAGGGGCCAACTCCAGAGGAATCCACCACACTTGAGGCCTGTGGTAGTTGATCTGATCACCCTGATTCCTTTATTTACACCTTGCACATGCATATGCATTGCATTCCAGGTCCAAATGTTTTGATATTCATTAAAATGTTTAACTCATGTTCCTTCATAGATAAAATTTTTGTTGCTTTCTATAATCAAAATTATTTGGTCAACAAATACAGTTTTTGTAAAGCTTTAACAAAAAGTAAATCAATTAGATATGGGTAGAGATGTGACTAAACACTATGAATCAAACTTAGGTTGCTTACAAAAGTACTATTAAACAAGTCTCTAGTACATTTGATCCCACATTGATGATGCTCTCAAGTCCTATATATATACCTTTGCTCTGTTAACAGAAACTGACTTACACCTAAAAGATGTAGTTTAGCGGATTACTAGGTGTGTAGAGCTGTGTATCAAGGGGAAACACACGAGATTTCCCAATCCACAGGTTGCTTACAAAAGTACTATTAAACAAGTCTCTAGTACATTTGATCCCACATTAATGATGCTCTCAAGTCCTATATATATACCTTTGCTCTGTTAACAGAAACTGACTTACACCTAAAAGATGTAGTTTAGCGGATTACTAGGTGTGTAGAGCTGTGTATCGGGGAAACACGTGAGATTTCCCAATCCACACAATGACTATAGTTCCTGATATTTTCATTCTCTACTCTTGTTAGTAACAAATTTGTGTTTCAACCTTCCTCAAAATTTGCTTAAATCTGTGGTAACCAAACCAATGACATGAAATCATACAGCGAATTTAAAGGACAGAGGAGTGCAAAAAGATTTCATCTAGCAAATTCAGAGGATTTCAAGAATGAATGAAACAATTTCATCCAGCAAAATCAGGTAGTTTCTATTTTCCACTTTATTATGTCACAATTCATTCAACCAATACACTTGATTACAAATCACTGAACAAAAGGAGCTCTGAGTTATCTATTCAACACCAATACAGAACTAATTTAACTTGAGACTAGTCCTGCACGCTACTGCTAAGGATCAAACATGAAAATGTTTTTAGGTAGATTTAGATGCAGTTTTGAGTCCACAATATTGTAAACCTCTTTGCTCGCTCACTTTCTGGTATTCTTACCTACCAGAAGATGAAGTATGGAAAATCATTACTTAGATCTGCATATTTCAATTTGGTAAATTTGATTGACAAACACATGAATCTATACATGTATACAAAACCATGCAGGAAACCGAGGGCTAAAATTACGATATACGGATACATACATACATGTATGTATATATATATATGGTACCTGATCGGAATCGCTACCGGAGAGTCGCCGGAAAATCGAAGAATTGAGGAGAGATGAGGCGGCAACGGAGCGATCCAGCCCTGGAGAGAGATGCTATGAGACAATGATGAACCACAGATCAGAATCCGTAGAGAAGAACCATTGAGTTCATATATCGAATCCGTAGAGAAGAGATATATGAAAAGAAATTTAAATTGTGTAGGGCCCTTCACTAGCCTTATGCCTTAGGCCTTCTAGCGTGCCTTATTTGTGATGTTTATGTGATATGGCATCATTAAACACATAATTTCAGAGCATATAGCCTTGTTAAACTCTCATGTTTATCACTCTTTAATTATGTTTAAGAGTTGTGCCCTTATGCCTTGTTGATGAGTCAATGCATGAGCATCATTATCTGGCCTTTCATACTATCATTTCAGATCATTTTGGCCACTATCTTGGCATGCATGAGGTCTTTTTAGGGCTCATTTAGTCCATTGAGCATTGTATTGTGTAGCCCTAGTGTTGTGTGCTTTGCTAGCTTTAATGCTTAAGTCTTCTAGCATGTTATACCTGTGTTGTTCTCATGATATGTCATCATTTGGCATATGATTTCAATGCTTGTACCTATGTCATGCTCTCATATGTGTCGCTCTTTCAATGCGTTTGAAAATTAAGCTTTGTGCCTTGCTTGCGAACAAACCAATGAGCATGCGTTCTTTGCTTTCTGTGCCTAAGTCTTAATGTGTATTGGCCACTATTTTGAAGTGTCTTAGGTCTGTCCATATGCGATTTGACCATTTGAGATTGATAGTGCATGCTTCTAGTATAATGCACTCCATTAGCTTTGATGCCTTAGCTTTTAAACATGCCATGCACGCATTGTTTACATGATAGAATCTTGCGCATGCCAGTTTAGCATTGATAGATAGGCATGTTATATGCTTTGCATCGTGTTTGGATCGGACGTTAATCCAAACACAAGGAATGTCGCACATTTCATACTCAAAGTGATGAAACATGTTGCATTTCTTGGTCGCCAACCCTCTTGATCATGCATGATAGAGGCAGAGGCTCTTATGTGTTGTTTGTGCATTCACTAATATTGTGCGAGCTTGGCTTTTTGGCCATCATGCATTGAGATGCGTGATTGGTGGTTTGAGAGTCGAATACTACGCTCCTTTGAGCTCGAGAAATGATAAGGAGAGTAGTTGCACATACATTTCCTTGTAAATGCATTGTTGTGCCTTTGTTGATCTCTGTTGCAGCAAAGTTGAGATTCTGGAAAAAGAAGTGGCCGGCCGGCCACTTGCACTAGTCTGCCGACCACTTGAAGTGGCCAGCCGGCCAGTTGAGGTAGCTTGTCGACCAGTTGAAGTGGCCGGCCGGCCACTTGCAGCAAAATTTTCCAAAATGCTCCTGCTTTGGGGCAGATGCAACCTGAAAATGTGTTCGATGCTCTGAGGTCACCACAGGTGCAAACTGAGACAACTCATGGCAAGGCAATGCATTTCCGGGCGAAGCAAACCGAGCATACATATCTCCCTCCCCTCGAGGCCATTTTAACTGCTTTATTTAGCTAGTTAGTTTGTCGATTTTGTAATTAATTAGTTAATGTATTTAGCTAATTTAATTCATTATTGTAATATTCTAATTAGCTTAGCATAGCTAGTTTCAATTTGGTTTGTAATTAATTAGCTTAACATAATTAATTAATTGGTCTGTAATAAGTAGCTTAGCTTAACTCTTATTTATTCGAACCCTCCTTCGAGAGGGCAAATAAGTGTGCGTGTGTGTGTGAATGTCTTCTAACCCCACGTCTTTCTCCCTTTTACTTATCCGCTTTTGGTGGTTAGTTTAGGACATATTTCAATTAGCATACCTTATGCTTCGCATGTTTGCATCATTCATTTGTCTTGCATGCACCGGGCTTGGCGCATCAACCGCATTGTATTTCAATACACTTCTTTGAATACATGTATCAAATGTTGCATTCATATGCCATCTTAGATAGCCGAGCCCATTTAGTTGCATTTTGCATGTGTTGCATTAGGCACTTAACATAGTTAAGATCATGCATTGATTTCTAACTAGTTGTTGTTTTGGCTCGGAGTACACTGTGAGTGTTTATGCTTTAGCATACTGCATGAGATGTGTATGTTTCCATGTTAACATGCTTGCCATGAGGCTATTTGCTTAACTGCTATAACTGCATGAATGCTTGTGGATGAAGGCTTCATTGCTTGAATTGAAACAATTCATCAAAATGTGCATTTTAAGCCCACTTGAGAGTGGCAAATCATGTTTTAAGCCCACTTAAGAGTGGCAAATCCGCGCTTTAGCCTACTCAAGGGTAGCACTTTCAAACCATTTTCAAAAAAACAAGCATGAAATGTTTTGTTCCAAATTGAGTAATTTAGTCTATACTTGTGTGTTGTGCGCATCACATAGTAAGTTATCTAATAATCAAAATAAGAACACATGTGTTTTCAAAAATAACATATCATGTTAGTAGAGGCCGATCTTTGATCGGGCGAGTGGGAGTCCTCATTTCAGGACCTTCCCCTCTCATACCCAAGTTCTCGAGCCGAGGCAACTTTGATGATGACGGACACGTGGCCTTAGGCACGAGTCAGGGTTTCCTAAATTTTCCAAAATAAAATATTTAGATGGCGACTCTAAAATCTGGCAAAGCAGTCCATGTTTGGCACTTTTTGATTAAAATCGATTTTCCAAAACGATTTGTCAGATTTGGACTCTTTGGTGATTTATTAGTCTTACATTGCACTTTGTGAGATTAGATTCAGAACCGTGATAGAAGTCCGAACTGTAGTAGCTAGAACACAATTCGCGCCCTCTCCAAAAAGGGGGGGCGCGAAGCGAGTTCAGGGCAGTCTACAATTTGCATTTTTGAGCAATTTTTGAAATGTCTGGGTGTGCCCAGACCCCTCGTGCGGCCACGGGCTCCGCACGAGCGGCCCATGCCTTGAACCAAAAGTGGGTTGTACTGTGCACTCGAGTGGCTCGAGCTTCTGCACGAGAGGAGCCAGAACGCTCGAGTGGTTAGGCCGGCCGCACGTATAGCCAGGCAGGGAAAAATCTGTGTTGTTTTCTTTGTGTTGCTACTCCCGACCTCCGGAACGCATCCCCAACCTTATTTAAACGCTTTTAGGAGTGAAATGATGATTAGGAATTCAGTAAAGAAGGTTGCGAATTATGAAAGATAAGTGTTCGAATTTAAATAAATGATTTATCAAATGTGTGTGAAATGTTTGTATAGGTCGTGTGGTAGAGGTGACGCCGCGAAATCAAACACACTGTTAGTAGTAATATTGTACATTTATTCTCTTTATTGCGTACCTTGAACCATGAATGGTGAATGGTGCCAACATTACGAATTGATCGGAAATAAAGAAACTTCATTAATATTATATGACATGCGCTATATGATTGGGCCCGAGGCCACTTGTTTTATGCTTGGGCCTAAGGCCGCTTGGTTTATATAATTATGGATATTGTGAGAACCTTATGATCATGTACTTATACTATTCTACTGTATTATTACTCATTGAGTATCGCTCACTGAATATTATGTATGCACATGTAGGTGATCAACAACATGGAGCACACCCTTAGAGTCAGCTTCAGGAACTATTTTTGTGCCCCAATCGAGTTGTGCCTCCGAGATGGTGTTTTGTCTTTCCTCACATCACACCTTGATCTTATTATGTTTTGGTATTATGGTGTTGGGTTTGTAAACAATGTGTACAAATTTCCTTTGGCTCTTATATTTTTGTTAGACATGTAAATGTTTTAATGTGTTACGTGGTTAACTTCATTAATATTATATAACATGTGCTATATGATTGGGTCCGACGCCGCTTGTTATATGATTGGGCCCGAGGCCTGATATATGATTGGGCTTGAGGCCACATGTTATATGCTTGGGCCTAAGGCTGCTTGGTTTATATGATTATGGATATTGTGAGAACCTTATGATAATCTATTTACACTGCTTTATCGTATTATTACTTATTAAGTTTCACTCACCCAATATTATATATGAACATGTAGGTGATCAACAGCATGGAGCACACCCCTAGAGTCAGCTTTAGGAACTATTTTTGTGACCCAATTGAGTCGTGCCTCCATGACGGAGTTTTGTCTTGACTCACATCACACCGTGATCCTATTATGTTTTGCTATTATGGTCTTGGGTTTGTAAACAATGTGTACAAATTTCCTTTGGTTCTTATATTTTTGTTGGACATGTAAATGTTTTAATGTGTTATATGGTTAACTCTACAATTTTGCTCATGATTGGCACAGCTCAATGAACTTCTCTTTATTATTATGCTTCCGTCTATGGCCCCATTAGCATAAATATTTTGTATGTTAGTTTGAGGCCTTTGGTAATTTATGGATTACTGGCCGATTATGACTCAAACTTTTAGGGGCGAGCTCGGGTCATGACAGAGTGGTATTAGAGCACGAGTTAATATCTCACACACGAGTCCATGTGAGCAATAAAAAGTCTAGAAAAGGTTTAAGTTGCATCCATATTGCTATCGTAATCAGGTATGACATGAAAATGTGCATTTGTAAATATGACTTATGTGTATATTATATGTGAAAGTTATAATGTATGTTGCCCTTGATCGTTGTGAGAACAAGGACTGAAGATAGGGAGGATTCAACCTCCGCACGACTTGATCGGATGGAGGCAATGATTATGGGCATGGCTGTGGCTTTTAGACAACAACAATAATAACAACAACAATGGCAACCCCCACCGCCACTAATGATGGTGCCACCACCAGTAGTGCAAGACCATCAAGCTGACAACCGAACTATTGCTCTCATAATGGAATTTAAGAAGATGAAACCACCATTGTTCAAAGGGGGAATCAATCCATTGAAGGCAGAGGCATGGGTTATTGGCACAGAGAAATTGTTTGGGGTCTCTATTTACGGAGGGCCATAAAGTTTTACTTGCTACTTTTACATTGGAAGATGAGGCACGCCATTGGTGGATGCTCATCCGAGAGGAATATCAAGGAATGAATTAGGCTTAGTTTTTGCAGATCTTTTATGAGAAGTACTTCCCACAAAGTATCCGAGACAGGAAGGTGTCGGAGTTTGAAAACTTAAAGTAAGGAAACAAAACCGTAGTGGAGTATGAAGCATAATTTACCGAGCTAGCCCGTTTCACACCGCACATGGTCGGTACGGACTACAAAAAGGTGAGGAAATTTGAGGGTGGTCTCTGAGACTCCATTCTTGAGAAGATTAATGTGTTGAAGGTACATAAATATGTGGATGTGTTGGATAGGGCCATCATGGTGGAAGGTAACCAGGCCAACCGTAGCTGGTACTTAGATTGGAAGGGCAAAAGGCAATGCTCTAACGTGCACAAAGGGTCGGTGTCCTCACAAAACAAGAAGCAAAATTTAGGAGCTTTTAAAACTGTGGGGTCTAACTGTGATTCACCAATAACTTGCCCGAATTGTGAGAAGAAACATCGAGGGGTTTGCCATCGAGCATCAAGAGCTTGCTTTAAGTGTGGGAAGACGAGACATATAATGAGAGATTGTCATATGTTTGGGCAACAAAAAGAGAATAGGCCAACTGCTAGTTCAACCGATTCCACTCCTGCAACAAAGACCCCGGCAAGGCCTACTACTTCTAGAGATAATGTTAGACAATGAAGAGTCTTTCCTCTTGTTCTGGGTAATGTCCAGAATTCAGATGCAGTGGTTTCAGGTAAGCTTTCCATCAATGGCCAATCTACTCATATGCTACTTGATTGGGGTTCCGCTCATTTTTTTTTTTTTTTTTTGTTTCGAAAACCTTTGCTCCTAATTTGAATAGAACTATGGAACCCTTGAATTATGTGTTGTGTGTGTCTCTCTTATCTGGGGACTATATGTTATGTGCTTCTATGTATCATGTATGTGAGCTTTTACTTGGAGATATTCCATTATGTGCTAATTTGATGTCTCTTGATATTGTACACTTTGATATAATTTTGGGAATGGATTGGTTAGCTAAGTATCATGCAACCATCGATTGTATGTCTAAGCAAGTTGTTTTTCGTCCACCGGGTCAAGATGAGTTTACTTTTGTGGAACATGGGGTGGTTCTTCCACCCTATTTGATATTGGCTATGAAAGCTTGTAAACTACTTTAGAAAGGTTGTAGGTGTTATTTGTGTAGCATTTTGCATGTAGTGACAACTGAGGTGGGTGTTGAAAATATTCAGATTGTTAGTGAGTTTCCGAATGTATTTCCCGAAGAATTGCCAGGGGACTTAATAGACCGTGAGATTGAATTTGTCATTGATATTGTGTCGAGTACTCAACCGATTTCTAAGGCTCCGTACAGAATGTCACCGACAGAAATGAAGGAACTGAAAATACAGTTGCAAGAATTGCTTGACAAAGGGTTCATCCAATCGAGTACATCGCCATGGAGCGCACCCGTTTTGTTTGTGAAGAAGAAGGATGGGACCCTTTGGTTGTATATTGATTATAGAGAACTTAATAAGGTCACGGAGAAGAAAAAATATCCTTTACCACAGATTGATGATTTGTTTGACCAATTACAGTAAGCACAAGTGTTTTCAAAGATTGACTTGAGATTCAGGTACCATCAGTTGAAGGTTAAAGCAGAGGATGTTGAGAAGATCGCCTTTCAAACGAGGTATGACCATTATGAATTTTTAGTCATGCCATTTGGGGTTACGAATGCACCAGCAGCTTTTATGGATTTAATGAATTGGGTTTTCAGACCGTACTTGGATGAGTTTATGGTGGTATTCATTGATGACATTCTTACTTATTCGAAGAGTCGGGAGAAACATGAAAAACACTTGAGATTGATTCTTCAAACACTTAGGGACAAGAAGTCATATGCTAAATTGAAGAATTGTGAATTTTGGTTGAATGAAGTTATGTTTTTGGGACATATAATTAACAAGGATGGTGTGTCTGTCTTTCTGCAAAAGATAAAAGCTTTTGTAAATTGGTCTGCTCCTACCAATGTTACAGAAGTATGTAGTTTCATGGGTTTAGCAGGTTACTACCGAAGATTTGTTAAAGATTTCTCCAAGATTGCAGTGCCGCTCACCCAGTTGACTAAAAAAGGTGTTCCATTTGAGTGGACAGAACAGAGGGAGTCCACCTTCCAAGAATTAAAGACAAGGGTCACAATAGCACCGGTCTTTGCCTTACCATTAGATACAGAAGGGTTTGTGATTTATAGTGATTATTTTCATAAGGGTTGGGGATGTGTACTTATGCAAAATGGAAGAGTAATTACGTATGCATCTCGACAATTGAAGCAACATGAAAAGAATTACCCTATGCATGATTTGGAATTAGCTACTGTGGTGTTTGTATTGAAGATTTGGCGGCATTATCTTTATGGAGCAACATGTGAAGTCTACATCGACCACAAGAGCCTCAAGTATTTCTTTACTCAAAATGAGCTTAATATGTGACAAAGACAGTGGTTAGAACTCATCAAGGATTATGACTTGCAGATTCATTGTCATCCCGGCAAAGCCAATACGGTAGCGGATGCTCCTAGTAGAAAGTTAACGGGAAACATAGCATGTTTGCTTACAGAGCGGATTACTTGACTTGAAAAGAAGGGAGGTGGAAATTGTGCTACATAAACGGGGTGGAATGTTAGCTGCAATGGCAGCACAACCGACTATTATCGAGGAAATTAAACGAAGGCAATTAGAGGATGAATTTCTCAAGAAAGTACATGATGAGATAAAAACAAAGCCGAGACCAGGATTTTCTTTGAAGCTCAAGTGTTGAAATTCAAGGGAAGATTATGTGTTCCTAATGTCCCTGAAATTAAAGAAAGAGTCTTGGAAGAAGCTCACAAGTCCAAATTTGCTATGCATCTCGGAAATACCAAAATGTACCAAGATCTCAAGCAAGCTTTTTGGTGGCCTAATATGAAGAGAGAAATTTTGGAATTCATTTCAAGATGCCTTCAATGTCAACAAGTAAAAGCGGAACACCAAAGACCGGCGGGGCTACTTCAACCACTCCCTATTCCGGAATAGAAGTGTGAGCATATTACTATGGATTTTATTGTGGGCTTACCCCGAACACCCCGAGATTTGGATTCTATATAGGTTGTTGTGGATATATTGACTAAGTCTGCTCAGTTTTTACCTGTGAAGACTGTTTATAATGCTAACAGGCTTGTTACCGTGTACATTGCTGAGATTATTCGGTTGCATGGTGTTCTTGTTTCTATTGTGTCGGATAGAGATTCTAAGTTTGTGTCAAGATTTTAGCAAAGCTTGCAAAAAACATTGGGAATGAAGTTGAGGTTTAGTACCGCATTTCACCCACAAACCGATGGACAATCTGAAAGAACTATATAGATGTTGGAGGACA